TTCTCACAAGGCTCCCCTGTCCATACTACGTTAAGCTCTGAACAAAGAACCTAACCTTCCAATGTGCTCAGTGCACAGTAAATTATAGCCATCATCTTCATGATATTGATGATGAACGCAATGAATGCAATAAAGATAAAAATCATTGAGGCTGCTTCTTTGGCTTTTCCAGGGAGTTTAGACCAGTGGTTCTCAAACTGTCCTACCCCCAAACCCTTTCCAGGGGTCACCTGAGTCATAACAGTAGCAAAATTACAATTATGAAGTAGCAATGAAAATAATTTTATGGTTGGGAGTCACGACACGAGGAACTATTAGCTGCATTAGGAAGATTGAGAACCACTGGTTTAGACTATACATGAAGGTGAGGTAAGATTAATTTCATATTATTGAATAAAACTGAGCATATTACCACCAAAACTGGTTTTTAAAGTCTTACTTTTGAGGGTGTTAGGTGGTATCTCATAGTTGTTTCAATTTGAATTTATCTTATGGCTAATGATCAGGAACATTTTCTCATATGTTTATTGGCCATTTGAATTTCTGCCCTTGTGAAATTTCTGTTCAGGTCCTTTGTCCACCTCCTGAGTGGGCAGTTAGGTCTTTTCATATTGTAAGCTTGCCAAGTATTGTAGATTTAAGTAATCAGGCCTTTGTCTGATGTGTCATTGCTAAAGATGTTTTCCCAGTCTGTGAGCTCTCTTATTACTCTCTTGGTGGTGAATTCTTTCAGTGTACACAGGTGCTTTATCTTCAGTATATCCCACTTGTAAATTTGTGACTCCTCTGTGTTTTTGTCCTTCCCTATTTCTGATAGCCTATGTATTCCCTGTGTCAAGATTCTCAGGTTTGTCCCAATTCCCTCATTGATGGCCTAATACTTTGGAGATTTACCTCAAGGTCTGTGATCCACCTTGTTTATTCTTGTGCATGGAGTGAGGTAAGGGTCTTGCATCATTTATCTGCAGGTAGAGATCCATTTTTTCCAGCACCCTTTATTGAAAATGGCATCTGCTTTCCATTTGATATTGTTGGGGCCCTTAATCAGTTGTCTGTATGCTGATGTTTTTATTTCTGAGTTTTCAGCTCTTTTCCATTGGTCTGAATATCTGTCGTTATATCAGTACCACACTGTTATGACCACTGTGACTGTATAATATGTGCTAACATCAGATAGAGCAAGTCCTCCCATTGTGTCCTTCTTCTTGAGGAGTTCTCTGCTAATTCTGGGCTTCTTCCCTATCCATATGAAGTTGGTAATCAGTTTTTCTAATTCTTTGAAGAAGGTTGATAGTATTCATATCAAGATAGCATTAAACCTATATAGTGCCTTGGGCAGAACTAACATCTTTACTATATTGAGTCTTCCAATCCACGAGCATAGGTTATTCTTCCATTTGTTGAGGTCACTCTTGGTTTCTTGTAATAGTGTTCTGTAGTTTTCCTCATACAAATCATTTGCTATTTTAGTCAGGTATATCCCTAGATATTTCCATTTGTACTTGGCTATTGTGAAGGGTACAGGGGAATAGATCTATGTACTCATATTTATATGTTAAGAATTGAGGTTGTAGATAGACATTGTGCCTCAACTCAAGTACTTCCTCTACACAAGAACACTTTGTTCTAATAATCCAGCATTCAGTGATGCTCACCTTCCCGACATGATTGCTGAAGACAAGATGGGTACATAAGCAAATGTGAAGAAAGTTGATGGTGCCCAGCTATCAAAAAATATATGTCATCTGGGGTGAGCATGAGGTGTCGATGGGATCAAGTATCAGGCATCTAAGACCAAGAACAAAATCATACCCAAGGTGAATTGGGGGGAGGGCATGGAGTGGAGACCCAAAGCCCATCTGGAGACAATTGGATATCCCCTTACAGAAGGATCACAAGGAAGAGATGAGCCAGTCAGGGTGCAGTATATATAGCATGGATGCAACACACAACTTTCCTCTAATTCTTTAATACTTCCTTTCCCAACTATCATGACCTTAATTACACCTTACAAATTGGATTAGACCAGAGCATGCGCACTGCTAAGCTAAGAGCCTGCAACACAGGGAATCCAGGATAGATAAGCCCCTCAGGTCCAACAAGGAGAATAAAGATACCAGGAAGATTAAGGGAGGTGGGGGGAGAAAGCGGGAATTGATCACAAGGATCAACATATAACCCCCTCCCAGGGGGATAAAAAATGAAAAGTGGGTGAAGGGTGACGGAGGATGATGTAAGACATGAAAATAATAATCTATAACTTATCAAGGGTTCATGAGGGAGG